GATATTTATTTCACTGAAGAAAAAGGGGAAACAAATCATACACAGCATGTAACTTTAATTTATACATAAATAATTTATTTACCCTTTTTACTGAGAATTGTATTTTATTTGTAAAGCCCTTTCCACACTGATATGCTGCACTGTCCTGTATCCTGGACATCTGACTTCATATTTCAAATAAATTGTCATCATTTTATACTGGTATCATTGTTCTCTTGTCCTATATCAAATTTAAAGCAATAAACACTGATGATACATATTCTCAATAAACACTGATGATACATATTCTCAATAAAATGAAGACACAGGAGATAAACCGTACTGTAAATGAAAAATCCATTTATTATTGCATTGCCTGGCCTTGGAAATATGCAAATTCATTATCATTTATAGACTCTATACAACGGTTCCAAGCATGTTTTAATCATTTTTTTATATTTAGAGAAGACATTTCGACGCTATGCACGCGTTTCGCAGTTTGCCTCCGTCGGGATTCGAACCGGCGAGCGGGAGTGCCGTTCCGCACGTCGACCGCGCGTCTTTTGCGCTCTAGTGCGCATGCGCGGGTGCCGACCAAAACAGAGAAGAACGCTGGGGGAGCGCCTCTGGGACAGCCTTCGTCTCTGTACCTGTGTTCCACATAAATGTCCCCACCTACCGATTTCAGAGGCTATCATTGGCTCATGCTCAAATGGAACAGGCCAATGGGTGAAGGCCAGGTCAACCCCATTGGTCTGTTCCATTTGGGTGCTGTGCTGTGATTCGACAGCTCGCCGCATGTCCCGCCCACCCCCAAAGCCACAGCCACGGTCAGTGTCATTCATTCATTCGGACTGAGCGGCGTTTGAGTGAGCGGACGGACGGACATTCACACAATATTATAAGGTTAGACAAACTTTATTGTTTGTAAAATTATGTGCTACATTGAAAAGGCAGCTTATATATTATACAGTAATCAGTTAGCAGTGAAACAGCGAGCCAATGTAACGTTAGCGTAAGTTAGGACTGCCGCCGATGTCATTACCGATCGGTGAAATGTGTTTAAAATAATATTCCCATACTGGGTTTACTTGTTGAGACCTAGGATATTGTACTGCTATTGTGTGGAGTTGATATTTAAAGTTTAACTGTGCTTTAGATGCGTTAGCATATAAATCGCTATTAGCATGCTAAGCGTTGGAAATGAATGAGCATTTAGCCACTGCTGTGATGAGCTGACGATCTCTGGAAACGCTTTAAAAACGTGATGAGACAACTTGGCTCACTTCTTAAGACCCTTGGTATGCTGGTACAACGAGGTGGAGTCAAAATTTGAAGTGTAAATATGGTTTAAATGTGTAAACAGACCAGCCGTGATTTTGCTAGCTAAAAACAAGGAGGTGAATGAGGTCATTTTAGTTACTACTTTTCTGAGGGCTGGCGATCTCTCACAATGTATTTAATCTTTAAACAGACTACCTGATTATCTTCCTTAGACCCTGTAGATGTAGTTACTACAGTTTGAAGTCAAAATTCAAAGTGTAAATATGGTTTAAATGTGTAAACAGGACGCCTGATGTTGAATGTATGTTAATGAATGGGCACAGTATCATTGAGTACAGTAATAGACTGTCAGTAGGATGTAAACAGTGCATGTGTAGCAGATTACTGACTTAAATCTTATTTCTTGTCTTTCTAGAAAATGCAGCCTATTTTCCGCTTTGAGGCAAACCTTGACCTGACCCTGCGGGCCTCTCAGGAGGCGCTGGCCTTGAGCCGCCGCCAGAGGGGGGCCTCTGCCTCTGCCACTGCCCTGGTGGTGGTTAAGACCCCTGAGCTGGTGCGCTCTGAGGCAAGAGACAGGGTGGTGCAGAAGGGAGGTAACCCCACCGATCACCATCAGGTGCTGGCCGAGAGCGAGCTGCAGCTCGGCCAGTACCGTGGTCAGACGTTCCGGTGGCTGCTGGAGAATGACGTGGGATACGCAGTCACCATCTGTGTGTCCCACGAGGGAGAGAGAGACAAAGGGGGCACTAGTCAGCAGAATGCCCTCATGGTGCACAAAGACGCCCTCGTCTCCTACGCCAGGCTGTTCCCGCCGATGGTGGCAGCCATCGACAGGCGTAGGATGCTCGAGGGCAGTCCCCAGACCATGAGGGGCGTGGACGACACGCTGGTGGGGTTCGGTGTTCATAGTGACCTGACCTACAAGACCCTGTACGAGTCGACGGACCGTGAGCGGGCAAGGTAAGTTGTTTGTTTGTTTGTGTGTGTGTGTGTGTGTGTGTGTGTGTGTGTGTCTGTGTGTGTGTCTGTGTGTCTGTGTGTGTGTGTGTGTGTCTGTGTGTGTATCTGTGTCTGTGTGTGTATGTCTGTGTGTGTGCGTGACTTTTTTACCCATTGCATTTCTGTTCTCTTTTTTAGCTATGTACAGTTTGTGAGGCAGGCGGCACCCACAGCCAAAGCGTCCAGGTTGGTGGACTTAAAAAAATATGTGCAGGCCCGGGATGCAGAGAAGGCAGCCCTGGCAGCACAACCACCACAACCACCCCTGGACGCTGTTGGTCCCCAGGATGGACCCTCGGATGCTGGCCTGCTCGCTGCCGCCATGGAGGTCGACCCGTGCAGGGATGCCCCATCAGCCGTGCCCCCCCTTCTCTCTCTCCCAGCCACCGGAACGTCCCCTTCAGGACAACACCTGTGGGGAGAGGTCAGGCCCCGGCGCACAGGTATGCTCAGTGATGACATATTGTGTTGTAGTGTGTGTGTGTCTGTGTTCAGTACACTAACGGTCTGACACTGCTGTGTGTTTCAGCTGCTACCACGTGGCTGGAGGCTGACGCTCCCCGAAGAGCAGCACGACTGGGTGGGCCGGGCACTGTTCAGGAGGGCACCCAACGGGCAGGGTGTCCTCACATCTGAACTCCGCCTGTGGTGGCACCCACCAGGTGCCCGGCCCCTCTACACCCAGCCACCCGCCACAGCCCACCCCTTTTTCCAGAGTCCCTTTTTCCTGTGGGTGCCCTACAGGATGTGGGCGTACCACCTCCGCTGCCCCATCGTCGCCTGTGGGGGCAAGCTTGCGGGAGCTGGCCTCTACAAGACGGTGAGGAGGGTCTTGGACAGGAGCTGCTGGTACTTCATGGGCACGGAGTACCTGGAATGCAGCTCCTGTCACAAGAAGATGCCGGGATGGTCGCAGGACATCTTGGGACAGCTGGACATGGCCCATCGTGAGCAGTTTCCAGCAGTTCTCACGTACAAGTAAGTAATGTAAACAGTAACAGCAACAGTAATGTATTTCTGTGGTTTTCTCCAGTAACCTCTGATCACCTCTTTCCCCTCCCAGGTTGTCCTGCGACAGAGCTGTGATCGGGCTCATGAAGGAGCGCACTTTGGGCAACAGTGCGTCTCGCCTCCGTGCCTCTCTGGTGGAGCAGCACACCAGAGAGTGGATGGCGCGGTCGATGCTGTACCTTTCCGTGCTCCGCAAGCTTCGGGTACCGGGCGCTGCGCCGCTGGCGGCGTCGTCGCTCCCAACCATGCACCCGGTGCCCACAGTGCTCTGGCTCATCAACGTCTACGTCAGGGATGCCTTGACGAGGCTCGACGAGACGAGAGCCAGAGTCACTTCCATCTTTGGTGATCTTTTGAAGATGGACTCCACCAAGAAGGTAGGTTTTGTTATCCACCACAGCGTGCCGTGTACCCAGTGTAATGTTTGTTTTGTCATGTGTCTGAATGTTGTTGTGTTGCTGTGTCACACAGATCACCAAAAAGCTTGCGGGCGGTGCTGCCGGGACGGCCGCCTGGGTCACCAACGTCGGCAATGAGTACGGGCAGGTGCTCATGTCCGTCCTCACCGCAGCTGAGGGGGGGCGGACTTGTCGACATGGCATGGTACCGCGAAGCCGGGAAGGCCCCTCCAAGGGTCCTGTACGTGGACCGGGACTGCTGTGCCACCGTGGGACAGTGTCAAACGTCCAAGCTGTTCCACGAGTGGCACGAGCTGGTCGTCAGGCTCGACGTGTGGCACCTCATGCGGCGTTTCGCCAGAGGGGTGACCACCGACAGCCACCAGCTCTACGGCCTCTTCATGGCGAGGCTCTCCTTCGCCATTTTTGAGTGGGACGCCGAAGACGTGTCCCGCCTGAGAGGAGCCAAGCAGTCCGAGGAGGGGAGGGACGCCCAGGAGGTCAAGCTGTCCGCCAAGGAGCTCGCCCGTCACTGCCGGCGCCGCACCAGGGGTGCAGTGGAGACGGAGCGGCTGGTCCAAGAGGTGCTGGACACCTTCTGGCACGTGACGGACAGCATGGGCGTCCCTTTGATCGACCGCGCCCGAATGGAGGAGATCTGGAGCACGCAGCGCCGACACCTCGACTGCATCCAGGACCCTGCGGGAGTGGACCTCTACACCAAGACGGGAGAGCTCACCAAAGGCGGGGTGAGGCTCCCCGTCTACCGGCGCGAGGCTCCACTTCCCTGGAATCGTTCCACCTGCACCTGTGCCGCTTCATCCCAGGTAAGTACATGTGTGGTTTACAACACAGACTCAATTATGTATTTGTGTGTTTATTTGTCCTCACACTAACTGTGTTGCTTTGTTTCTGCTTAGGACAATCTGCAAGTGATGTACACTTCCAGGTGTACCTGCTGGAGGGCCTGGTGCGGTGGAACGAGAATCGAGGGAGGACAGAGGTCGGCGCTGCGTTGCTACAGTGCCCAGCTGCAGCACAGCTTCGACCAGCTGACCCAAGAGCTTCTTGGGCTCACGCTGGTCGACACGTACACCATGCCCAGGGAGTACACAGGTAAGTCATAAATCTGTCTGAGGTAACGGTAACGTTTAACACCTGTCTTAGGTGTCTGTCATTTAACATCTGTGTCTCTGTGTGCCCACAGGGGAACTCATTGGGGTGGAGTACCTGTTCTCCCAGACGGGCGCTGTGCTGCAGAAGGACCTGGATGATCCTGACGCTCCAGGAGGGACTGATGAGGACGAAGCCGGGGGGGTGGGGGGGCAGTGATGAAGAGTTCGAGGAGGAGGAACCAGAGGAGATTCGTCTCCTCGAACACCACAGCGCTCTCCTTCAGTCCTCAAACCTCACCCGCGTGGACCAAATGGAGGTGCAGCAGGCTGAGGAGGAGGAGGAGGAGGAGGATGTTATCGGGCCAGGTGGAGGCAGCTACCAGCACGTCGTGGCCCTGGCCCAGGCCCTCGTGGAACTGCGCCACCGCCGCTACGTCACTCCCAGGCAAGCCAGAGAGATCACCGCTCTCTGGCTGAAGTTGAGTGATTGGGACAAGGCAGCGGTCAAATTCCCCCCCCCGTCACCAGGGCCGGCTTGTCCAAGGCCGATTCCGGACCACCCAGCGGCACGCTCACATGCCAGGGGTGTGGATAGTGTGAAGCGGTAAGCAGTCACAATAAATTTCCAAGCTTTTTTTGGTTCTTGTCCTGTCCTGTCAGTCACTAATTAACTCACTGACTCACTCTCTCTCTCTCTCTCTCTCTCTCCTCTCTCTCTCTGTCTATGTCAAGTGCGGTCCTGGGCAAGGGGGCGGGAGCGGCGCAGTCTCCCGATGTGTCGAGGCTTGTGGAGGCTGTCCTGCTGGACCTCAGCATCCTCCACTGCAGCGAGGGCAGGAAGATTGCCGGGGTCTGGATTCCTCGCTGGGGTGCCGTCATGAGGGACTATCTAACAATTTGCGAGAATGTTTATAGTTGTGCAGCCCTCATGACGAGCACCCGCATCCAGCTATATGATGTCAATCGGCGGACCCTGACGCAATGGTAAGACCTGATCCTTTCTCTCACATCTGATTTGAAGTGGCACTGTGTGAGTGTGTGTGTGTGATGTCATGATTACTAATGTGCATTTGTTACATTCTGTTTTTTAAGGCACAACCAGAGGAGCAAGGCCATGATGAGGGACACCATCGCCATTGCAGTCCTGGGGCCCAGCACTCCCCAGACTGCAGCGGAGCCCCTGCCTGCCCCACCGACTGTGCTGCAGCAGCCTGAGCAGCCAGACCAGCCCCTCCAGCACCGCCTGCCCACGGACGCTTCTGGTCCTGGACCTCATCGTCGCCAGCTCCTCCACTGCCTCCTCCTCCTCCTCCTCATCAGCCACCCCACAAGCCTCCAGCGCGGACGCCGTCCTGTCCACCAGCGTCAGCGCGGAGGCCGGTGACATCCCCCTCCACAGCCACAGCTGCCACTGCTCCACCAGTGCCAAGGAACACCGCCTGGAGGCGCAAGCTCCAGGAGGAGAAAGAGCGTTGTGCCGGGAGCTGGGAGAACACTTAAAACCAGCAAAGAAGGTCTCCCACTTTAACTGCAGGCGCAGTGGCCAACCGAAGACGCGGGCGTTTGGCCACAGCCGCTACAAGAAGGAGACCTTCTGCTCCCGGGCCGAGGGGAAAGGGAGAACTGTGGAGCAGTGGCTGGCAGAGGTGAAGGGGCGTGATGGAGCAGCCCCCCCTGCCTGAGCGAACACTTCACTTTGTGTGTGTGTGTGTGTGTGAGTGAGTGATGGGGCGGCTCCCCCTCTCTGAACGAACGCTTTGTGTGTGTGTGTGTGTGTGTGTGTGTGTGTGTGTGTGTGTGTGTGTGTGTGTGTTTGGGAGGGAGGGATTTGTAAATATTGTGTATATAGTGTATTTAGTTTGTCAATTATGTTTGCTAAATAAATATTGTGTATATAGTTGTCTTATATAAGATATTCCTTTATTTGTCCCACAATGGGGAAATTCCAATATATATCTATATAGTTGTATATTGCTGTCTTAATTGTTTTTGTTTTAAATAAACTTTTCTTTTTTAAACCAATGCTTTCTCCTGCTTCTTTCGGTCTTTAAGAAATTAAATAAATATAGGGAAGACTAGGTATCTAGACTAGGTGCCTGATATCACTAAATTCCCACAGGTAACAGTCACACAATACATCATTCCCTCTCCTCACTTAAAACTAGGGTCAAGGGGTCAACCCAGGGTCAGGTTCAAAGGTTTACCTAGAGACTAGATGAGAATGGGCCTCAGATGGACACTGTAAAACAACAGGGGGTGCTGAGGGTTTAGTTGGACAGAATGGAAGGCAGAAAAGCAACGCGGAAAACCAAACACGTCACTTCATTAGGTTTGTTAGAAATATACTTTGTTAAACTGCATCTGTGTTTCTATGTACCTTGACTAACAGAGTTCTGTATTGTATTTGTATTTAAGTGGACTACGACTGCACATCCTCCTCCTCCTCCTCCTCCAGCTCCTCTCCTTGACGGCTTCAGGCAGCAGAGCCAGTGGCGGGGACCAGCAAGCCCACCCGTTGCACTGTGTACAGGCGCAAAATTAAAGCAGCAAAAGACAAAAAAGTCCTCCAAAGTACCAGGAGAAAGCCACAGCACAAACCTGGTGACCCCTGCAACATCCGTGGCCAAGCATGCACGGTGGATGGTGGCCACACTTACCTCAAGGGCCAATACTTTTGTGCTGTGGAAGAGGGCCCTGGAGGACGCACAGTGCAAGAGTAGATCAGGGAACAGCTTGGCCCTGGTGAGCTACAGAAGCTCCCCAGAACAACAGCCTGGAACCTCAAACAGAGGCATGAGAAACCAGAGAAACCAGGTGGGAAAGTGAGGAAGCCCCACAAACTGCGGATCTGCCAACTCTGTGGCCAGCCACAGCAGAAAGACTTTGGCCACAGCCAATATGGGGGAGAGCACTTCTGTGCTTTCTATGAAGGGAAGACTGTGGAGCTGTGGCTGGCTGAGAAGAGTTTAAAAAGACATTAAAAGTTTTTTTTTTTAAATATTTACTGTACTATTATCCAAGCACCTTATATGTTTCATCTGTTCACTGCACCTTATATTTTTTATTTTTAGTTTGCACTGCAATTATACTGGTTATTTATCCATTTTTTATATTGCATTCTATGTTGATTTTTTTGATATGTCTGTGTGTTGTTACTGTGTGTAATGCTGCTGCTACATTGCACTTTCCCAGCTTATCTATTATACATTTTGACCATTCCTAATAAATATTGAATTGATTAAAACCTTGTCATGTCTATTTAAATACTTTTTAACTTGACTTTTTAAACCTGGAGCCATTCAGGAGGCCAAAGCGATACAAATATTAATGCACATTTAACAAAACAGGTCTCCTTGCTTTAAATGCGTGCAGGTGCCTTTAATTCGCCATATGATAAGTAACCATGTGCTCGGGATGACGTCGAACAACAGCTGAGAAAAGAAGCTTTTTCATTTAAGCTGCCATTGTCTTCCAGAAGCACCTATCTGCCAGTTTCCACCTCAGGAAGCTTCACAGCGGTGACTAGTACATTATAGAGTGGTTTGGTGTGGCTCTCTCACTTAGTTTGGCTGTAATGCACAAAACTATTAAAAGTGACTTTTTTGCGTTCCCCATGTAATTCTGGCTTTTTCCTGTTTCACATGCAATTCTGTGGGACTTTGGTGTTTTTCCACCTAAGTGTGCTGAATGAGCTTCTCAGGCTGAGAAAACAAGCTTTTTCACACAAGCTGCCATTCTCTTCTGGAAGCACCTATCTGCCAGTTTCCACCTTAGGAAGCTTCACAGCGGTGACTTGTACATTATAGAGTGGTTTTCTGTGTTCCAAATGCAGTTACGCTTTTTCGACAAAAGAGGGCACACTTGACCATAGAATAATTCATTCTGGACTTGCAAAGCTTCACAGTGGCATAATCGAAGTGATGCATAAGTGGTTTGGTCTGGCTCTCTCACTTAGTTCAGCTGTAATGGACAAAACTATTAAAAGTGACTTTTTTGCGTTTCCCATGTAATTCTTGCTTTTTCCTGTTTCAAGTGCAATTCTGTGGGACTTTGGTGTTTTTCCACCTAAGTGTGCCAGGCTGAGAAACCAAGCTTTTTCACACAAGCTGCCATTCTCTTCCAGAAGCACCTATCTGCCAGCTTCCACCTCAGGAAGCTTCACAGCGGTGAATTGTACATTATAGAGTGGTTTTCTGTCTTCCAAATGCAGTTACGCTTTTTCGACAAAAGAGGGCACACTTGACCACAGAATAATTCATTCTGGACTTGCAAAGCTTCACAGTGGCATAATTAAAGTGATGCATAAGTGGTTTGGTGTGGCTCTCTCACTTAGTTTGGCTGTAATGAACAAAAATATTAAAATTGACTTTTTTGCTTTTCCCATGTAATTCTGGCTTTTTCCTTTTTCACATGCAATTCTGTGGGACTTTGGTGTTTTTCCAACTAAGTGTGCTGAATGAGCTTCTCAGGCTGAGAAAACAAGCTTTTTCACACAAGCTGCCATTCTCTTCTGGAAGCACCTATCTGCCAGTTTCGACCTCAGGAAGCTTCACAGCGGCGACTTGTACATTATAGAGTGGTTTGGTGTGGCTCTCTCACTTAGTTTGGCTGTAATGGACAAAACTATTAAAAGTGACTTTTTAGCGTTTCCCATGTAATTCTGGCTTTTTCCTGTTTCACATGCAATCGAGCCCCGGACTGATTTCGCACTCTTGCTGGGGCAGGTGTATATAGTTGTTTGCAGTGTTGTGTGTGTGTGTTTTTTTTTAAAAGACATTGACTTTCCCCTCCACAAGGACCGGGACTTTGCCGCAGTGTGGAGGCTTTCTACCAACACCGGTCCACCCACCCTGCCACAACTCTTCTACAGCACAGTGACACTCTGCTTGGAAAAAAAATGTGTGTCCCATTCACACCTGTATAACACGCTGTCATGCCTCTGTGCTGTTCTGATTCTATGCACTGACAAGTCTTATAGGCCTGCTGTGTGTCTGCTGCCTGTCATATGGTTTAAGGGGGGAAATCATTGTGTGTCCCATTCACACCTGTATAACACGCTGTCATGCCTCTGTGCTGTTCTGATTCTATGCACTGACAAGTTTTTTTATTTTTTATATTTTGGACATGTGGGTATGTTCATTAATGTGATCACTGTTACATCAGTTACATCCAGTAGCTGCGACGCAAGATATCGGACTGCCATTTGTGCTGGTTCATCTGCTGTTGCCACTGGCTCTGTTGCTGCCAAAAAAATAAAAAGCCTTGTATGTACAGGTACTTCACACTGTAATGCCCCTGTGTTATGTATCCATGCATATCTGTGCTGAGCTCTTATACTATGTGTCTGCCTGCTGTGATTGCCTTGTGCCACTGCTCTGTTCTGCATCACCATTTATTATTATTATTATTATTATTATTATTATTATTATTATTGGATTGTAGTTTAAATAATCTATTTTGCTCTGTACTTCTGCTGTGTTTGATGTTGTTGTTGTGAAGATGCAGAACACAACAACAATATATTTAATTGATATTTATTTCACTGAAGAAAAAGGGGAAACAAATCATACACAGCATGTAACTTTAATTTATACATAAATAATTTATTTACCCTTTTTTACTGAGAATTGTATTTTATTTGTAAAGCCCTTTCCACACTGATATGCTGCACTGTCCTGTATCCTGGACATCTGACTTCATATTTCAAATAAATTGTCATCATTTTATACTGGTATCATTGTTCTCTTGTCCTATATCAAATTTAAAGCAATAAACACTGATGATACATATTCTCAATAAACACTGATGATACATATTCTCAATAAAATGAAGACACAGGAGATAAACCGTACTGTAAATGAAAAATCCATTTATTATTGCATTGCCTGGCCTTGGAAATATGCAAATTCATTATCATTTATAGACTCTATACAACGGTTCCAAGCATGTTTTAATCATTTTTTTATATTTAGAGAAGACATTTCGACGCTATGCACGCGTTTCGCAGTTTGCCTCCGTCGGGATTCGAACCGGCGAGCGGGAGTGCCGTTCCGCACGTCGACCGCGCGTCTTTTGCGCTCTAGTGCGCATGCGCGGGTGCCGACCAAAACAGAGAAGAACGCTGGGGGAGCGCCTCTGGGACAGCCTTCGTCTCTGTACCTGTGTTCCACATAAATGTCCCCACCTACCGATTTCAGAGGCTATCATTGGCTCATGCTCAAATGGAACAGGCCAATGGGTGAAGGCCAGGTCAACCCCATTGGTCTGTTCCATTTGGGTGCTGTGCTGTGATTCGACAGCTCGCCGCATGTCCCGCCCACCCCCAAAGCCACAGCCACGGTCAGTGTCATTCATTCATTCGGACTGAGCGGCGTTTGAGTGAGCGGACGGACGGACATTCACACAATATTATAAGGTTAGACAAACTTTATTGTTTGTAAAATTATGTGCTACATTGAAAAGGCAGCTTATATATTATACAGTAATCAGTTAGCAGTGAAACAGCGAGCCAATGTAACGTTAGCGTAAGTTAGGACTGCCGCCGATGTCATTACCGATCGGTGAAATGTGTTTAAAATAATATTCCCATACTGGGTTTACTTGTTGAGACCTAGGATATTGTACTGCTATTGTGTGGAGTTGATATTTAAAGTTTAACTGTGCTTTAGATGCGTTAGCATATAAATCGCTATTAGCATGCTAAGCGTTGGAAATGAATGAGCATTTAGCCACTGCTGTGATGAGCTGACGATCTCTGGAAACGCTTTAAAAACGTGATGAGACAACTTGGCTCACTTCTTAAGACCCTTGGTATGCTGGTACAACGAGGTGGAGTCAAAATTTGAAGTGTAAATATGGTTTAAATGTGTAAACAGACCAGCCGTGATTTTGCTAGCTAAAAACAAGGAGGTGAATGAGGTCATTTTAGTTA